TTTTCCCCCCCCCCCCCCAAATCAGATCCTGTTTCAGTGAGGAAAATGGTTCTCTCTCCCATCTAGTGGCATCAAGCCATATGTACTTGCTGGTCAGGTTAATCCCTCTCAGGGAAAAAAGACAGAGATTGGAAGCACTGAAATAAAAGTATTTCATGCCTTGTTCCATGGATGATAATGCTGCTCTCTGACTTTATAGGAACTTATGTGAGTGGAAGAAAACCTGCCTTATCCTACAGGCAGTCCCAGGCAGTAATGGAGTTTGTGTGCTTGCACTACATTGTCAGCAGTACCTATGCGAGGGTGATTACACCTAACTCTGGCCAGTGATCCATAAGGGCATGTTGCAGCCCTGGGACAGCAGAAAGGCTGGTGATAGTTAGGGACAGCAGAAATTTCTGAGACGTCCTCTTACAGGATAGCAGAAAGCTTTCAGTAGTGCTGTTCTGGAGTAAGGCTGTTGCTAACTGCAGCCTGACTTGTGGAAGTCAGCATTAAGATTTGTGATGTGACTGTGAAGATTGTGGAGCCCTAATCTGGGGGAAGGACAAGTGCTTGTCCATAGGAGTGCAGATTTTGTACTGCAGTTGGTGGAGAAAGTGAAGCTAAGACTGGCAGCATGATGTCTGCATGTTGGAGAGGTTTCTGTGATCTCTCTCTCAGGGATTGCTCAAATAGATTCCTAGAAGCCTAATTTAATACACAAAAATGAATATTAAAGGCTCTGATTCAAACTGAGAAAAGCATGGCAGATGTGCTAAGCACATCCTTCCTGTCACTGGCTCTTGTAGGACATCAGTGCTTTTGCTTTTTTTTCCAGTTTTGCAGATCTCTGTAATGCTGGATTGTAATTGGATAAAGTGTGAAAGATTCAGTTAAAGTTTTCATATAGCAGTTCAGGACCTGATTTGGAGCATCCCAACTGTTCACTATCACCTCGAGGGTGTCTCAGGTTTGCAAGTTCGTTGGGCAGATATGTGTGCCATGCTGTGGTATCCCCAGAGTGCACTGGAGGGGTCTGGACTGCTGTCTCCATGCTACTGGCATAGCAGGGGTCTGGCACGTGGGGGCCTGGCTCCTTCAGCTCTCCACACTGCTCTGCTCCTCCATCTCTCTGCTGTGTGGGTTAACCAATTTTATCTTCTCCCTCCCGCCCCCCTCCTTCCTTATGCCTTCATTTTTGATATTTCACAGTATTTCACAGATGGTGATAAAATAAAATGCAGAAGTGGGTTAAATTATTTTCTAAAAAACTCTGAGCATTTTTAAGTTTCTAAAAATGGTTGAAGCAGCCACTCTGCAGTCTGAAGCCTGGGAGGCTGCTGGTGCTCGGCTCTGCTGAGTCTTTTGCTGTGTCTAAATGTGTGCCTTGTCTTTAGCCTTTGGTGCGGAGGCATGAGAGGGAAGGGAGGCAGTGGTGGGGGTGCGTGTCACCCACACGAGGCAAGGAGGCCGCTTCTGCCGCAGAGTGCTAGCAGCACTGACAACACTTGGCTGTAGGCGACATTTGGAGACGAGCTGTAATGGTCGGAGCTTGGGAGAAGCTGTGAAGAGCTGCAGCTTCCAGGAGGCGCAGAGATAGCACTGTTAAGCTTTTTTGTTTATTTCCATTACAACAACGATGGGTTGATTTCTGCAAAACCGACTTTGTGGGCCTGTGTTGGTTGAGAGCACTGAAAACTGAGTTTGAGGAGATAGGGGGAGCTAAAAGGTTGTAAGCACTTCAGTTCCCCAGTCTCTAGTACTCCACCTCTTTCTAAGGAAGCAAGTATAAGAAACCTGCAAGCCTGATCAGAGATTGTGGGATATGTCCTTAAAAGTGGAAAATTTTCTTCTTTATACTAATGGCCAGTCCTGAGACTGATGCTTTTAATTTGTTTAGAAAAAGATAATTTATTTGCAGCTAGTTCAAAACTGATACAAAACACTCTGAAGTACTGAAGAGGATCATAGCCTGATACAGGAAAAAGATTCTGGAGAATTAATCACCTACTGGCTTGCCAGACAGCCTCCTGTGCTCTGAGGAGCAGTGAGGGCTCCTACTTCACTTTGGTTTGATAACATCTCTTTTATATGAGTCCTGTAGGACACCAACAGGTAGTGCCACAGCCTGACAGCAGTAACCTTCTTGAGCTGTGACGATGAACTGATTTTGCAGTCAGATCTCCAACTAAACCTTCAAAAACACCACCAGCTGGGTTGCATGCTGGTGTTGATTGCTTCTTAGCTGCTGGAGTTTGTTCATGTGTGAGAGAGCATGTGCTTCACTTCATACTGATCCTCAAAGGGGTTCCTGAAAATAAGTCTCCAAATCTGCAAATACCTTTTAGTGTTGTCCTGATTTACTGGAATAGAATTTTAGACTCCGTTTTCTGTTGAGGAAAACTGCAATTCTGTAAGGGCTACAACACACTGTTTCATGGGAACAAAGTGACAAGATGCTCTGCTTTTCTTTTTGGCCTGCGCTTGTATGTGATGATCAAGGTCTTTAGCAGTTTTGACATAAACATGTGCAGAGGCTGGGGGAAGTGGAAACCCAGGGCAGTTGATCCCAGGCTGGCCAATCAATGATAATTATTCTATACCGTAAATGTCATGTTCACTATCAATTGGGGTGTTTGCTGGGGATGGACTTTCCTTCTTCCATGGCTGTCATCTCAAGGGGGACTTGTCTACTGTCCTGCCCCTGAGGCCTACTCCTCCACTATATTGGTCAGGTATAACTCTGTGTACTTTATACTAATACTGTTATTAGTATTTGTTTGTATTATTATCTTATTAAATCTTCTTCTATTCCAACCCATGAGTCTCCTTTCCTTTTCGTGATTGCCCTCCCCCGGTGAGAACAACTGTCTAAACCATGACGAGTGTCCAGTGATATTACTCACTGGAGCAATGATGGAGCAGGGTTTTATTTATAACAGCATGCATGGATCTGCACTTCTTTTTTTTAATATATAATGTTGTGAATGAATTTTGGGAGGAGGGAGGAAACAATCTGTTCAAAAGCTGTGTGGTAAACATTAAGAGAATTGTGCTGTTAAAGAACGTTTGGGGGTTTTTTCCTCACTTTCTGTTTTTTCTTTAGATTTCTTCAAGTACATCCCATTCAAGTCCCTCTGATTTAACAAAACAGTGTGGAACATCAGCGTTATTTCAGCTGGCAGAGGTAATATTAAAACACTGGTGACTACTACAGATGCAGTGAGGTGGAGAAGGCAGTGATGTTGATTGCCGAAGTCTGGAAGGCAGAACAGTGCTACAGTTATAATTACACTGTTGCTTATAGAAGCATAAATTATTGTGGCTTGGGTGCCACAAGTTAAGATTTCCCCAGACTAACCATCAACTTTGAGGTTTCTTTGAGGTCTGTGCTGCAGCTGAGAGGAAGTACCAGTCCCTGGTGGCAAAGGGACTTTCAAATTACCATTGAAATTGCTTCAGTTCCTTGGTTTAGGGTTTTGACTGGTTTGGCCAGGGGCAGGGAGTTGAGAGGGGGGGCTAGATTAGTCTGTTACTCAGATTAGGACACTGCCATTACAAATTCTTGATAAAGATCCTTAACCACTTTTGTTTATGTTTGCTTTTCATGCCTACTGTTTTTTTGAAGTAGGTAATAATCAGGTCAATAACTTCTATAGAAACTGCTGTGGTACTCTCACCAGATTCTCCTTTTGGCAACAGTTAAAGCCAATGGCCTCTTTTTTAAGCTTTCCCAATCTTAGCCCACTGGTCATGTGGTTAGTCTTTGAGCTGTGGGATAGAGAAACTCCTGATGTCTGGTTTAAAGCAAGCCTCTTGCTTCTAGTTTTGCTCCAGGTGGTTGGTTGGTTGACATTTGTTTTGAAAACAAAATAGCACTGGGAATTCAGCTTGGGGGCTTTGAGAGGGGGAGTAAGAAGAAGAAAAAGCGTGTCGTCCGAGGGGCAGCTACTTGGTGCTGTGAAGGACTGCCCTCTGTAGCACTGTCAGCGTAGCTTACTGGTGATCCAAAACCGAGAGGATCTCCCAAGTCAATGCTGCAGGAACATGGCAGTTTGAGGACCTTGGTACAGCTCTTTTGTTTTTTTAGTATCGCTGTTCCTCAGACAGTATGAGGGTTTTGGTTTCCATTAATGTTATCTCCAGGAAGAGATAACCATGGCAACCACTGCTGCTTTTCAGTTCTTTGCAAAATAAGTCTGTGACATGAGAAAAAAGATTTGGAAAGCTTTTTTTACTACCCTCCTAATTATTTTGCACATTGAAGTAAAAGAAAATAATCTCAATAACTTAGATTCATTTAACTTCCCCCTTCCCTACTCCTCCTTCGGGACTATTTGGAAAATGGGGGAAAAAATTGTATATAGGCATGTTTGGGAGTTAATGGAGTATAGATGTGAGATTTCAAGTAACTTGTCTGTGGCAATAGAGTGATGTACTGTATTGTTCTGTTGCACTTGGAGTATTCTGAAAGTCAATCTAGCGGTAGGTTTCCAGGTTATATAAAAGGCACTTGAAGCACCATAGAAGCATCACTGAGATCAGTTGGAGTCTCTTTCTATTGGAGCAGTAGAGCCCACCAACATTACTATAGCACTTAGCCATCATCATGTCACATCAGCTTCATTAGGGCTTCAGCATATTCTTCAGTATTGTCTTGTAGCGCAGTTTGCTTTCCTGAACTAAGATGCCAGAGAGATTCCCTGTGTAGTGCTCCTGTTGATATAGGTAAGTAATAGCAACAGTTAATGTTTGTTTCATGGGGCTGTTTTTAAATCTGTTGTAGATGTGCCTTGCTTCGGAAGGAGTAAAAGTGAAAGAACCTGGGAAAACAAAAGTGGAAGCACTGGAAGATGTGGGAAGGGAAGTTCCAGAGGAAATGGAAGTAGAAAAACTGGAGAAAACAACAATAAAAGACTTCTGTAAAGGAAAAGTAGAACAATTGGAGATAGAGAAAATGCAAAACCGAGATGAGACAAAAACTGAGGAATCAGAAACTGCAAAATGCAGAGATTTTACTAGTCTTGCAATGGAGAGCAATCCTTTTGAGAGAAATGTTAACTCAAAGGATCACATATGCTGTTCTCCAGAGCTTTCAATGGCTGACATGAATATCCTCGGGCTAAAGCCAGAAAAGATAAAGAAGAAAAAGAAAAAAAATAAGTTGGACCGGCACACAAACGAAAAATCCACCCCCAAGAAGCCTTGTAAAAAGAGGCAGTCCTCTGAGTCGGACATTGAAAGTGTGATGTATACGATTGAAGCCGTTGCAAAGGGGGACTGGGGGGCTGAGAGACTTGGGGAAACTCCCCGCAAAAAACCTCGCCCTGTTTCAAATGTGAAGGGAAGTGTGTTGGATACAAAATCACCAAAGAAAAAAGTGAAATCGAAAGAGAAGAAAACATCAAAGGAAAAACCCATGGAGACCACCAAAGAATCAAAGCCTCCCGATTTCCTTAGTATTGCAGCCAGCAAGGAAGTACCCTGTGAGGCTTCTGACAGCATTAAGGTGGAACCACTGACCCCAACGGAGGAGGTGGTACCCCAAAGCTTACCAGAACAGGTCAAAACTGAGGACAGTGACTGTGTTAAAAAGATAGAAACCTGTGGCTCCAGGAAATCGGAGAGATCTTGCAAAGGTGCTCTTTACAAAACTCTGGTGTCAGAGGGCATGCTCACGTCTCTGCGTGCTAATGTAGACAGAGGTGGGTGCCTTTGAGTGTGTCATTTACAGCATGAGCTGCGGAAGCCTATCTGGAGTGGGAGGAAAAGCAAAAGACCATATTTAAGATGGAGTTTGAGCAGTGTGTGATGGGAATGCTGTGCCTGGTCACCTGAGGTGCAGGGGACAGGTGGAGGGAATGGGCTCCATGGCCCAGGGCAGGTGGTCTCAAGTTCTGCTTTCTATGTCCATACTTACCTCACCTGCTCTTACCTCACCTCTCCCTTTTTTGTCTTTCATGATCTGAGATTTAGCTTGTTAACCAAAGGCTTTGTCGATTAATTTGTCGGCCTGCTGATACACATATGCAGGACTTGTGTTGTGTGTAATCCTGAACAATTGGCTTGTTTCTGTATGAACAACTCCCATGGTTGTGGTTGTGAGCATAGCTCTCCATCCCGCAAGAGGCAAACATGCTGTGCTTTTGCTTTGTTTGTTACTTTTGCTGTAGGTGGTGAGCAAGAACCCTTTACCTTGTGGAAGGACAAATTTGAGATTATTTCTGGAAGCTTTCAGTCTTTAAATGTATTTTTCTGATTAATAGATTTATATGTGTAATTAGAACAGTCAGAAAAGAAAAGAAATCTTTGTAATTTAGGGAAGTTTATTACTCTAAATCTACTCATCTCTTTCTCTTCCTTTATACCTCAAGAGGCTTTAGAGATAGTATAAAAAACTGGGGGGGAGGGGGGGACGAAATAGTTGCCAATATCATCATTATCCAGTCTGAAATAAATAAATCGATGTTTAATAACTCCTTCAAGAAGGTCAAGCATTGTAAGTTGCAGTACTGAATGGGTACACAAGTTCCTTCTGAGCCCGCTTTGTTTCAGTACATTTTTCTAAAGATGAGAAACAATTTTCTGCCTTCATCCCAGGAAAAAGAAGCTCAGGAAAAGGCAACTCCTCAGATCATGAAGGATGCTGGAATGAAGAAAACTGGGCTTTCTCCCAAAGTGGGACAAGTGGGAACAAAAAACTGAAAAAGACTAAGCCAAAGGAAGAGTTTGGGTTTGGGTAAGTTGCAGCTTAACACTGTTCAAAGTTTTAATTAAGTCAGCCTGGCAACTTAAAGAGTGAGTCTTCCTCAATGCAGCTAGTGAACTGCATCCAGCACCCAAATAATCACAGTTAAACAGAATTCCTGAAAATTACAAATCCTGCTGGGCTTAGTTAAGCTTTAGATACCTGTTGTTTATATACTAAAGTAATTCCTTTGAGATCTTTCCAGTTTTACTCTGTTGTAAACAGATCTGAATGACATTATCTGCTCACTTCTAAAAAGACCACACAATATTTACCTGTTCAAGAGATGGTGAAGAGGGTTATTTGTATTTTCAGAGCACTTCGCAAGCAGTATTTAAAGTTTTGTGTAGGTGTTCAGTCGTCATAAACAGAATTAGACTAGAAAGAATAGACCTCTTTGCCTGCTTGGAGAGTTTGCTTACAGAGGAAGAGTAAACAGTGTTCTAATATTGGCAAATAAGTACGATAAATGCATCATTTTGTCATTGTAGGGACAAGATATTTAAACTGTTCATATGCATTGTGCAGAAACTAAATATGTGCAAAGAATAATTAATGATTACAAATGCATTACAATTTAGCAAGGCCACAGAGAATTACTTTCCTAGTATATGAATAACAATTTTTGTCAAGAGTATTACGGATTTATTTAACTGCAGGCGTAGTTGTTAAATCTGCTTAGCCATTCATACTTACTGGCAGATTCTTAAAGACTTCCAATTATCTGAATTCAGAGGGTGAAAATGAATTAAAAAGGAATAGATTTTCCACACTTCATGCTTAAAATTCTAATGTGTTTCTTTTGTGCAGGCTTGAGGTAGCCTTTTTTGTATGTGAAAATTAGCTGCAGCTCACCTTAGAGCAAAGTTATTAAATTAATGAAAATCCTCAGGTCTTGTTTGCTTGGAATAGTAAAGAAAAACTAATGGAATGCTTCTTGAATTTTTAGTGCTTTGTGTGTAACTTTTGTAAATATTTTTAAAATTTAAATTAAAAGATTGAAAACTTTTCACACCCAATGGTGTGAAATCTAAATGCATCTCCTAGCCAAAAAAAATGTAGTTAAGAACGATCTATTTAAAGTATCTGGGAGAATTGTGTAAATAATTACTTAATTCTACAAATACTGTTCTGCCATCATTAGCTGGCTGGATGGGGAAAATACAGATTTGCCAATCTTACTTCTTGATTAAATTGTGTCTTTACTTCTGAGGTTCAACAAGGCCAAGTGCAAGGTTCTGGGTTAGGGCAACCCCTGGTATCAATACAGGCTGGGGGATGAAGGGATTGAGAGCAGCCCTGTGGGGAAGCACTTGGGTCACTGGTGGAGGAGAAGCTGGACATGAGCCACCAACGTGCACTCTCAGCCCAGAAGGCCAACCACATCCTGGGCTGCATCAATAGAAGTGTGGCCAGCAGGGCAAGGAAGGTGATTCTGCCCCTCTACTCTGCTCTGGTGAGACCCCACGTGGAGTACTGCGTCCAGTTCTGGGGCCACCAGTATAAGAAGGACATCGAGCTGTTGGAGCGGGTCCAGAGGAGGGCCATGAAAGTGGTTGAGGTCTGGAGCAACTCCCTTATGAGGAAAGGCTGAGAGAGTTGGGGTTGTTCAGCCTGGAGAAGAGAAGGCTCTGTCAAGACCTTATTGTGGCCTTCCAGTTCTTAAAGGGGGCTTTTAAGAAAGGTGGGATAGACTTTTTAGCAGGGCCTGTTGTGATAGGACAACAGGTAATGGTTTTAAACTAAAAGAAGGTAGATTCAGACTAGATATAAGGAAGATTTTTTTTTTTTTACAATGAGGGTGATGAAACACTGAACAGGTTGCCTAGAGAGGTGGTGGAGGCCCCGTCCCTGGGAACATTCGAGGTTGGGTGGAATGAGGCTCTGAGCAACCTGACCTAGTTGAAGATGTTCCTGCTTATTGCAGAGGGTTGGTCTAGATGACCTTCAAAGGTCCCTTCCAACCCAAACTGTTCTATGATCCTATGATAAATGAATATTATTCAGTGAACTCTGTAAAGGCAGAGTGGAGTGTAAGTGCTGGAGAAGGTATCCGTTATCCCTGTTCATTGTACTACCTGATCTTCTGGCTACTTAAAGAGCTGGTTTTTACCTCTACCTGCTCCTCTTAACAATTTCTGCTCCCTTCAGCATCACCTTTTAGACGAATTTTCTCTGTGTGTAGAGGGTTCTCACTCCTTTGGAATTATGTCTTTCTCCCTGTATCCTCTTACCTTCTCCACCAGTAGTTTCCCACAGTTCCTGATAGTCCCTGTCAGGTGTGCTTTGTTCATGTGCAGCTCACTCCTCTCCCTGTGTTTATCTCCTGACTGGACTAGGTTGTACGATGCGAAGACCTCAGCTCAGCTATGTCTGTCTAACCAGACTTGTGAGATGCTCTGAAAATTCATGACAATGTGAATGATTTTTTTTTTTTTTAATAATTAATTGCTGACACAGCAATAGGAGCACTCTGCACTGCCTCCGTATCACACAAGCTATAAATTACGAGCCAGGATGGCAGCTTGTCTGCTTTCATGGTTGGGCCCTCTTAATTAGGGCTGCAACCCCTCACATGCCCTCGGGGCAGCAGACAGGCAAGGTGGCAGCAGGCAGTGGGAGAGGAGCTATGGCAGAGTATAGAATTGCATGACAGCTGTCAGAGCAGAAAATCGGCTTGTTTTGTGGTTGTCAGGGAACATCTACGTAGGAGAGAAAGGTAGCAGTACCGAGCACCAGTAATGTCAGATATCTTTGTGGTTTAAAGACAAAATAAAACATAAGCGTGTACAAAAAAAATCCCATAAAACAAATAAACCAACTCCACCATGCACGCAGTCTCTTAAGTGCCAAGGCTGTATTTTAAGATGGAAGATTGCTTTCTGAAAGAAGTCACGATTACACAGATAAGATAAAGTATCATTCTGTGTACCAGCACTTCCAGTATACCATTTGTTTGAAGTGCTGCTTCAGAGAGCAAAGAGAAATGCCACGTTTCTTGTGATTCTTCCAAGTGTACAATGTGTTAGGGCCATCCTGGCAACAGTCATGCCAACTTTTTTCAAGTTCAGGTTCTCCATAGCAAACAGAACTCAGGACGAGTAGAAAATGTCATTATTCCCCTGTCATCGATGGTGCTATTTATAATCTGCCTAGCTGTGCACACTGCCTTTTATTAAAATACGATTCCATCCTGTGCTCCTGCCTGGCTGCAAAAATTTGCTGGAACAGAGTGCATACACAAGCCAGCGTAGTCATTGCAGCCAGAAACGCGGTGCCATACCATCCTGTTCAAGTGGTTTGTTTTCATCTGGCTGTTAGGAACAACAATACCACGTCTGTGGATTTCTTGACTTCTAGATAGTCTAGTTAGTCATTCTGAAGTGTGGGGGGTGTTGGGTTTCATGAAAGCATGAGTTAGTTGCATTTTTCATCTCACAACAAATAAAGTATATGGGAAGAAACTATAAATCCCCAGAACAAATACAAAGCTAATTCCCGCCCCAAAGCATCAGGTTTTAGAATATCCCCAGAAGATTGAATGGTTTGACGTTTTTCTTCTGGTTTCAATTGTTATTTTCATTGTGGTGTGAGGACTTTTATATGAAATTATTTATTAGTTTGTTTATTTATTGGTTTTATTGGGTTTTTTCATTCCTCTCAGAACAGACAAATCTCCCATACGAATCTCTGCAGCAAACAGAGCTAAATGTCACCAGTATGACATTGATTTTTTTTTTTTCTTTTTAATATATGCAGCTAATACAATCAATTTGTACTGAGTTACAAATGCAGAAGCTGGAGTGCACATTTCCATCCCAAAGTTGGATTAATACATATACTAGTTTGATGTTCATGGTGTGAATGCGCTTATCTCTTTCCCCCTCTCTCTTTGTAGATAGTTATGTATATATGCACACACGGTCCTAAATACTATATTTTTTTTCTCCAGAAATGGAGTTACCTTTAATTTGATTGGTTTTGTTTCCCCTTTAGCTTAGCAAAGTTGGAAGAAGAATTTGAAAAGAAATTCAACAGCCTCCCTCAATACAGTCCTATTACCTTTGACAGGAAAAGTTCGGGTGTTCCAAGAAAAAAGAGAAAGGTTGGAAGCAGCTCGTCTGAACAACCAAAATCCAACAAAGGTAAATTACCATGTGCAATACATTCTTAAGTAACGACAACGCTATGCCAACCTCAGGAATTTATATGTGCTTACTTTCCTGTTAGATGTGAAAAGTGTGAAGCCAAAGAAAACATTTTTCTAGCACTGAAGTTGGTTGGTTCTCACCTGGGTTCATTTTCAGGCTGTGCTCTTTTGAATCCTGATTTTTATGCTGAGTAGAACTGGTTAGAGTTTCTACATGAAATATATTCCTCATAGCAAGCAAATTTATAAAAGACATGAGTATTTGTGAGGTAAGTGAATTTGACAGTTTTTCCCAGGAGAAAATGGGGAAAAAACCGGCAGGTGATCAAAAGGTTACATTTAGGCATTTTCCAAAATGTAGTTTTATGTCAGTTTGCATTTCATTGTAATTTTAGGCTCTATATATTATAACATAAGATACCATACGTGTCTGAATGAAACATTTTGATTATTTTTCAATCAGGATTTAACTCTGTATCGTAAGTTTGGAGCATAACCATCCTGACATGATAAAAAAAGTTAGAGGACAGGAAAACCAGTTCTGTATCCAGCTCTGTTGCTGAGGTGCTTGGAGGGAGAAACTCATGATACATTTGGCTGTTTTATGTACAGGCAACCTGTAACACAGAGGCGGTAGAGAAATGAGAATATAGTATGGAACTTTTAGACTGTGGGAGAAATGCTGATGGATAAATACATACCGTACAGAAGCATCACAAAATGAAGGAATGGCATAGCAGTAATATCTACAAGAAAAAAAGATGCTCAAAAGAATTCTTATTACGCGCAGTTCAGTATGTGAAGCTGGTTTCCTTTTCTGCTACTGTGGTAGTTCCAGTGTCTGACAGTTTTTCAGATCTCATATGGCTATTGTCACCAGGTGATCCTGGTTTAGATATATGCCTTTTGAATGCTTCACAAATAATCACATTACAGTATGCAAGATGGAGCAGCTGTTCTTTTCTAGTGCATGCCAATTTTGGTATTGATTTTTGTGTTTATATAATTAGATGTGGAACAGTCACTTTTGCAAAATTAGACTTGTGCTAATACCAACTGAGTTCTGACTTCAAAGGCCTTTCATTTTTTTAATGATATGTATTTAACAGAACTTCTTCAATGAGCATGAATGAGTTGCTTTACAGTATGTTAATGCAGTGGTTAATTAAGCAACATCTGTTGGGAAGAAGATCTCTTCATCTACCGTGATCTGGCAGTTGAAGTCGTAATAGCAGCTCCTTGGATTTCTCGCTACATTATTTACCTGTTCGCGTGTCTGAATGTCTGAAAGTTTTGGAGACCCTACGCTGTTTAGGAATGGCACGCTAGAATGCTACCTCAGGCCAGGTAGCCCAGAACTGCGTTCTGCTTTTGGCTAAGTACACGCACAAGAGCTTAATTTTTATCCTTGTTTACATCACTTAAAAATCTTTGGAATATATTTGGCCATGTCTCAGGGGAAGGTCAGAAACATAACTGCAGGCAGGTTACAAGCCTGATCTAAATAGTTTTGGCACAGCCCTGCAGAGCAGGCCTCTAGCTGACAATAAGGGCTCTTTAAACTAAGCCAGCTGACTTTGCACTGAAGCAGATGGTAAACAGTCACATGAACTTTTCCACCAACTGAGCTGTGGGGTTGCAACAAGCAGCCCCAGGGCAGGAATATCTGATAGTGACACTGCTGTTTCTGTAGTGAACATCTAACCACAGCCCCAGACTAAATCCAGACGGAGCTAGTGATATCTGCTCCTAATTTCAACGTATGTTGAATTCACTGAAGTTAGCTGGGCAGGCTGTCAGCTTGTGTCAGTCATTCCAGCTCCCTGGAGAGTCAAGTTCAGCTCTCAAGAGATAGCTTAAAAGCTTCCTGACAAACCATTTTTCTTTTGGAAAAGACAGATTGCTAAAAAGTAAATATTCCACAGACACGGGTTGATTTAAATTTGTTTCATTTTGTTAGAATGCTTAAAATTAGGATGCAAGTTGTAGATTTGAAATGACCTGAACCAAATTGAATACAAGCAAGTTTACTAGCTTAGTAGGGAAACTGTTCCAGCTGAGCCAAACATTCATTAAGCTGAATCTTCAATTTAATTTGTGGTGTAGTGACAGGCCATTCAGCCTTGTCATGCTGTTGCCTTGCCTGTGAACTGGGACAAGTCGAAAGATGGTTAGAGAATACTGACCTTCAAGGGTGTTAAGCATATATATCTGCATGCTAGGCTCCTGCAGGTGTTGCAGGAAGTGAAAATGGTATTTTGTGCAAAATTATAGAGCTTGGCTTGGAATGGTTCTGTTTGTTGTTGGTGGGGGTTTTTTTGTGTTTTGGTTGGGTTTTTTTAATTTTTACATGTTTTTTACACCATCAGAATGAAACAAAAGTTAACATCTTATTCTTGCATTGTGGTGAACATGAACCAGGAAGGGTCGGCATAGTCTTATGGGCGTGACTGTGTTGGGATGTAGGAGACACTCGCTTTGCTTTGCTGTGCTATGCACTACCATGTCATGTGGAGCTATTGTTGTTGCTTTGTCTCTGTAAAGTAATTAAAAGAGATGTCCAGCACAAATTATGCCTCCTGGTGATTGGGGCCTGTGGATGTTTGCAAACAGCAGCTAATAATCACTGGGTTTAGTGAATGCTCTTCAGAATTCATTCCCTGCCTTTTCTGAAAGAGCATGTGCAGGATCATAAACTTCCTGGGCATTCTCAGTCCTCAGATTAGTACTTTAAATTTGCAGTCTGCAGATCGGCGCCTACTGAATTACATTTTAAATTTGGAAAATAGGTTGGAGTGCTGTACACTAAAAATTCCCCAGGATGTAAAGTGAATAAAAATAGGGAGATGTTTTCGTTTGTTGTTTTGTGGGTGCTTCCCCCCCCCACCTCCTCCCACAACTTAGGGCTCTGTGCCTTAATATGGTTTTGGGTTGGGGTTTTTTTTGAGTAAATGGTGTCAGATTGATTTTCTGTCAATTGCCATTAACCTATATCTAAACGAGGCCTGATCTGCTACCTTACCCAAACAGCCAGGATTGTCAGGATGTTTTCCTACTTCGAAGTGGAAAATCAGCCCAGTGGCTCCTTCCGTTGTGCTTGTCATGCCCAGTCCTCACTTCAGCCAGTTCTTTTCATATAAAAGCACCTGAAGAACCCTGTAGCATGAAAGCTGTTTCAAATCCACACGTGTAAGGGAAAATTTGAACTTTCTTGAAAGAGAGGCAATTTGGTTTTTTTCCCCCAGAGCTTTGCAACTTGTCCTGGTTCTGCTCCTACGGAAATTAATATTGGGGTCTTTCTTCAGTGGGAGCAGGATTGAACAAGCCATAACGCTTTGGCAAATTCTACTGCAAACATTTTAACTGGGAGCATGCACATACAATAATAATGTCACAAAATGGCTGAAAGATACAGCTATACTGAATTTGTGCAGATGGCCTGCTCCGACATTTGCTGGAGCTGTGACTGATTCATTTATTTTTTTCTTCTTTGCAGTGGCATATGTGCCAAAACATCCCACCACACAGAAGTCAGCAGTCTGCAGTGAGTCACTAATCTGCCTGTATGCAAAAATGAGCAACAGGCACAGTCATTATTTCTGCCTTGTGCTGTGAAGAAATGCTCATTTACACACTGAGCACTTCACTAAAGCTTTCATTTTGGGAAGGCAAGGAGAGGATGCGTTTTAGAGTGTGCTTTTATTTGGGAAAGGTATTGTCCCTTTTGTCTCTGGCCTCTAGGACCAGAAATAAAGCATCAGCTTAAAATGGATGCTTCTTTGTGGCATTCCTTTCAATCTTAGCTTGTTGTTTTGGGTTTTTTTGGATCAAGTCAAAGTGTTCAGATGCCTGGAGATCACATGCTGTAATGTTCCAGAGATCATGGCCTAATAATCCAGCAGCTTCCTCCTGAGAGATGCAGAAATGCACGAACAAATCTGTTTGTCTCGGTTTTCTTGCAATCATGTTGAAGCGTTCCTGATTTGATCAGGCCCTTTCAAGTAGGGAACTTTGTGACAGCAGAGGGGGCATATGGCTAGAAATGTGGAGGAAATGCAGTTATGGTTCGTTACGTGTGGTGGGTTCATTTTCTTGCCTGCTGCTTCCCCAAGCAGCCGCTGTTGGCTGCAACAAGTACTCCCAGGAGGAAATCCCTACTGCCCTCAGCGAGCACAGTGAGGAAGACAGGGATTAGCAGGTGGTTAAATCCTGTGGCAACTGCTGAAGTGCTTGGGAAGGGCAGAGCCATGTACAATGCTCCCACTAAAGAACGATGAGCAGGAGAAAAGGGCTTACTTTACGCTTACAGATGGCTGTATAACAACAGCAAGTAAACTAACATCGGAAGCTTTTTTCAGCAGTCTATAGGAAAACACATCCAAGGTCTGCTGCCTAAGCCTTTTAGGTTACTTAGTTTTTTCAGTAGTGGATTTTCCTGAGGATTTAATGTTGGCAAGAAGCATTTGTTTGAGATCTCGGAGTACTTGCCTGGTGTCCCCATGAAACAGGTGTAAACTTCTGCATGGGTGTGTGTGCCTAAACAGTGCCCCTGGGGCACCTGCTCCTGAGGGCTTGAACAGGGGTGTTGGCTCTATCCCAGCTAAAAGCAGCACATGATCTCAGGAATGCACCCTTGTTCAGCCTTTCCTACATGTAGGTGTCTTCTGTTCCAGACTGCATTTCGCCATCTCCATAATGGTTTAGTTCAGTTAATTTCTATTAAAAGAAAAGCTCTGTTTTTCATACTTGAATATGCCATGCAAAGATCCTGTATTTGGCAGTTCGTTGGCTTAAGCTTTAATCTAAAGGCAAGATGGGATGTGGCTGTTTTCAAAGAACCACCAGATAGTCTATTCAGTAATTACTAGTATGTGCAATTGTAATTTGGCTTTTCACAGAGGACAGTGAGCCTATCATTTAGTTAACTTTTAATTAGTACAGGCAGGCAGCGTGAATGAAGTTTCTTGAGTCAGAAGTTATAGTCTCAGGTCTGAGTATGACATCTTAACCTATTTAGCTATTAGCTCATCTTCTTTCACTGCATTCATGGCAAAAGGATATTCAAGTGTCAGTGGGCACTGTCTCCCAGGATTAACAGCTAAAAGGGTAGGAAATTAGAAGTTTCCTTATGAAAAGGCAGCTTCTCTTTTGACCCTGCTGAAGTCAATGCCCTTGGATTTTCCATTTGGGAAGAAAATTTTACATGCAAGTGATGTGTGCCTTGGAGTACCCTACATGTCACAGATACAGTTAATTACAAAGGTGCCTTGGATGGCAGAAAAAAGATGGAAGACACTGGTTTCCTTGTTCATGCAGCGCCTGTCATCTTTTTGTTTTCATCTCAGTTTTTAATCTCAGTTATTTTGCTTAGAGGTGCTGGCGCTGGCTGACAATCTATGATGCTGATTGAAATGGTCTATGGTGTGTAGGTTGAGCTGTAGAAGTGGAGACTTCTGTGATACTGTGTAACGCATTGCTTATTCCAAGCACCTGAAAAGCTCACTAATTTGCGAATTAAAAATAAATGAAATATCACAAGAATTATCTAGTTCTGTGCCTCTGTCTTCTGTTGTGGGAAGACTTGTCTGTGTTGATGTGGGTGAAGTGTTTGACCTGAGTCTTCAGAAAAGCTCACTTTTTTTCAATTAGGCTTTTCTTCAGCCTGCTTGAGCTTTTTCATTCCTTCTTTTGCATAACACTAGATGCTTATCCAACTCTGTGTTACTCAGGAAGCTATTGTAAAATTTGCAGAAGGACACTTAAATCATTTTGAGTTTTATTATGGCCTCTTCTGTTGAACTTTCTGATATTTTCCATACAAGTTCTAGTGAAGTTTTTCAGGTTTAAGCTGGTTTTGCCTAAGATAGTGTCTTGCTTGGACTTTATTTGGTTTGCTTTTTGAGTTCTAGATTTTTCAGGACATTATTAACCTTTTACCAAAGTTTTCATTTCTGCAGTAGTAAAAAAGAAGCAGCAGTGAGCCACAAAGCCAGCAAGTACAGTATCTTAGAGGTGCCTTCTGTGGCTGTTTCTGGCTGGATTTTAGCTTTCTCTCAGTAATTTTCAGTATTCAAACAGCCTAGTGTACATGAATGGTTTTCCCCTCATAAGATTAGATCCTTCTTCCATGTGCTACACACTTTTCTCCTTCTTTCCCTGCATATAGAGGGTCAGCGATGGCAAGTTGCAGATGTTTGATGTAGACTTACCTTGATCTTACATTACTACACGGTTGCAGTTGTCTCGGTAGCCGCTGCGTGTCTGGTTCCTTTTTAAGGATGAGGAGGAATGGAGGAGGCTGGTGTTTGTGGTGGGTAGAATCCTGTTCCAAGTCAGCTGCAGATGGGAAGGCCACCCTCCTGTTAAGCTGTCTTGTCACCTGCAGTGCATCGCATTTGTGTTTGGGATGATCTATTCTGAGCTAGCCTGAAGACTTCCTTTCCTGCTCTATCTTTAGAAATAAGATTTTAAAGGTGCAGTTTCTGAAAGGTACTCCATAAAAATGGCTTTGCAGAGTAGGGATTATGCATCTGTTACATCTTTGGTCTGTGATGTCTCTGTTGCTCCTGGATCACTGTTTACTCCGTTAATGGGACTAAGGATAACTTCTTGATGGCCTCTGCTAGTGGCATACTTTGTGGCCTGATGTCATATAAGATGTCTTCTGAATACTGCTAGTAAACACTCTGCTGTCAAAGTAGAAATGATGCCATGAGCTGGGCATAACCTCATCTTCCTCTCCTGGAAGCTTTTACTTCTGCACTTAGTGTAAACTCATTTCTGGTCACCAAAAAGGTAAAGGTATCTCTTGCATCCTGTGGTAGGTAAGGTAAGGCGTCCTGGCTGGTAGGTAAGTACCCATCCTGTCACTCACTCACTCTCTCCCAGTGGGATGGGGAAGAGAATTGGAAGGGCGAAAGCAAGGAAAAAACCTCATGGGTCAAGACAAAGACAGTTTAATAAGTGGAGAGCGGGAGAAAGAAACAAGTGGTGCAAAAGCCAGCACACACCACCAACAAACTGATGCCCAGCTGGTCCCTGAGCAATGGTTACTTTGGAAAAAAACCTCTCTTCCACAGGTTTGTTGCTGAGCATGACCATTACGTGGTATGAAATACTTCTTGGTCAGTGTGGGTCAGCTGTCCCAACTGCGTCCCCTCCCAAACTCTTGTGCACCCTCAGCCTACTCACTGGGGTCGCAGAATGGGAAAGAGCCATCTTGGTGGTCAGTAAACACTGTTCAGCAGTAACTAAAACATTGCTGTGTTACCAACACTGTTTTGGTCACTGGTCTAAAACACTGCACCATGCAGGCTGCTGTGAAGAAAGCTTACTCCATTCCAGCCAAACCCAGTGCACATCCAAAGAGTGCATATATTTAAGCAAACAAGCAAGCAAACCCCTTGCTTTGTTGTATGGCTAAGCTTTCCAAACGTCATTGTTCTCCAAAATGCTCTGTATGCACTTAAGCACTGGGAGCTGATGGGTTGAAGTACAGCCTGCTGAAAGCCTCCAGAGTCCATTCGGGGCAGAAGGTCAGGTTTTGTGCTTCGCCATGAAATGGCATCCTGCATTAGTCAAAGGGGAGGCTGTATAGTACGTACTATGACTGTTGTACTCTTTTTTAAAAAACTGCTAATTAAAAGTATGTATTATTAATGTTGTCTGTAGGTTCATTCCAGTCTCAGAAATTCTACAAAATTATCAGCAAATGTAAGCACAGAAAGCAGAAGCGTAATGTTCCGGACACAGGTACTGGTGCATTAGTTAGTTAAGATTTTTGGGCCGCCTTCTCTCTCAGTTCAATCTCGGGGAAATGCTTCCAGACAGAGGCTACTCAGCTCTCTAGTCTTTGATTGCTTTGGTCTCTTATTTCCATGTCTACTTTGATTCCATTAGCCCCTGGCTTCAGTTGATCATATTACCTTATTGCAGAATGATGCGGTTTTGTTTTTAATTGGCGTCTCCCGTATTTACAGTTTCCCTGCTCCAGATGCCATGCAGCAGAGCTGACAGAGCAAGGGCACTTCTGCAGTTGGCCCTGAACTCTTTATCTTCCATAACTCATAGCCCTTTAGTCCTTTAATTCCTCTTAGCTGCATCCCTTCTGTATCAGAGGCCGTATTATTTATCCCTTTGCTAGAGCATTTTTCCATGTCCCTATCTCTCCTCCCTGTGATTTCCTGCTGTCTGGAACTTTGCAGGCTGCAGCTGGTCAGGATGTAAGAGCTTGTTTCTGCACCAGCTCTGAGAAATACTTACCTAAACCAACACTCCCTCTTTAGAAATCTTAATCAGCTTTCTATTTGCCTCAGATTGAAGATAAATTCAACAGGTTTGTTAAGTTATGCCCTGGACTTGTTCTACCTGCTTTCTGCTGGTAGCTCTCCAAAGCCTTTTTCTTGGTACAGTATTGTGGCCCTGCATATGTACATACTTATAACACTGAGGGGCATGTTCAGGTGTACGGTATGTGCAGGGTTATAGCTTAGCCTGCTTCCCTGGACCCTTTCTTTTTTTTTCTTTTGTAGTCATGTTGCCCACACTGTCCACATTGCACCCAGGCTGTTCTTAGCCCTTCCACAGTGGAGTTCTCTCCTACATTATCCCTGTGGTGTAGAAAAGCCCCTCTGGTTCTGCTTGCTTACTTAGCTCCATGAATTTTTCCCCATCTATATCTGTCTCATTTTAAGATAATAAAATCACTATCCTCATCTCCAATTCCCCCAGCTACCTCTGTACTTAATATCTTGCCTTAAGGCTTGACTATGTCATTTTGTCTTCTTTCCTGATGCTATGTTTTGTGTCCTGTATGGTGCATGTGCACTATTTTCCCACATAGGCTCTGCCAGCTCTGCTGCATTCAAGGGTGCAAATATTTTGAAATTACTTGCTCTGTTATGTTGTATTTCTACAACAAACATACTGTGGGAGTCACTCATAAGAAGTAACTATCTTGCTTCCATGCTGGTGTGAAAAAGGCATCATACATTAATGTAGCTTTTATTGGGTGCCATTCAATTTTTTGTCCCTGAATTATTAGTAGACCATGTAGACAAACTAGTAAGAAAAATGGGTGTTTAAATTCTCCTGTGGGAAAAGAAACAGCATTGAATACATGCTAGAGTAAAAAATACAAATGTCTTCAAATCTGCAGATGTAAAAAGGACTAAACAAAATGTCAAAACCTCCACTTGATTAAAAGAAACCAGCCTGTTTTGTGTGCACTATGATCAAAGACTTGAGCCTGGCAAGTGCTGAGTACCCTGGCCTTGTTCCAGTACAACACAGAGGCATGTCCTTGGAAGTTAAGCATGTGAATAATGTCATCATGTCTAAACATTAGAGATGAGTCTGTGCATTTTCTGGAGTAGGGCCAGTTTAAGTTCCTCCCAGGACTGAAGCAAAGACACAAGGAACTTGCCAGTCTTACCCAGCCCACATAGAAATCATCAGAGGAAAGACAGTGAAGGTGTGTATATATATATATAGGTGGGGAACTGCATTTTCTTTGAGTTACAAAGGGGCGAAAATGTAGGGTCTTGCCTACTCTTAAGCGCACCACATTGTGACACAGAAAGCAAAGTGTTGATCAGAAAAGCACAGTGTGGGTATGGCCTTGGCACGCAGCAAACAGCCTCGCCATCATGTGCTGCCTACATAACTTCATCCTTCTGTGAGCTCCTAGGCAGCGTGGCCCTGAGCTCTGGCTCCAGTGTCCCATACTCAGCAGGATTCAAGCTGGAAGTGCCAGCCTCTTCATTTCAGTTCAATTATATGAGAATTTACTGAATCAGACCCTAAATGCAGATTTCTACCCCCTTCTGTGGTTAGGCTATACTTGTGGTGAGTCACAAGCCTATACATGTGGGTTTGGGTTTTATGGAGTTCATTTTGCTGGAGGAAGGAAATACTCTGATAGCTGGAGAAGAGACACTTGGAATGACTGCTGTCAACAGAGGTTGTGCTGGATTCATGTTTTGTCATCTTGAAAAGTGTCTGTGTTTCTGAATGATGACAGGTGAATGTCAAAACAAATTTTGTTATAATTGGTTCATGTTGTCTGGGTCTATCTCTGGTTTGGGTATCTGAGTTAATTTTGACTCCATGTGGCCACACTATGCGTGGCATCACCAGTGCAAATCACCATATTATGAGTTTGCAGATGTCTACAGAGATACAGGCCAGTAAAATACCAATGAACATGCCACAACCCCTATTCCTCCTAGCAGAGAACGTACAGTAATGCTACTGAATAAATTCAGAGATATGTCACTTCTTTAGGAAGGCTGACAAAAGCACAGCTGGACCCATCCCTATTTGGGGGAGTTGATTGAACACCACTTAGCGGAGCGATTTATTTTCTTCCACAGTGAAGACTTTCTGGTAGGAAGCAATACTTAAAATAACAAGGGGTAAGTCACAACTGTTGAATCCTTGCAGATACATTTTAGTGAGCTGTGCTGAGGGCTCTTGCATGGTTTGTGTAGCAACCAACACAGTGTTGGCCTTTGCACCAGATGAACAAATACACCAGTCTCAGCAGTAGCTGATGTGTGCAGGAGCCCCGTCTCCTGTGGCTCCTAGAGCTAACTGCCTGCTGCTGATAGTCCAGCAACTCTCCCATGCACACATCAGTCTGTACAGCCTTGCCGCATATGTTTGAGCAAGAGCAGAGATTGTGGAAAATAAGCCGAGTGGACTTTTTTTTTTAATCTGAGAAAGTCCCGTTGTGTGGGGCCTGCAGCCACTGTGCCTTTGGCATCCATTGGGGCTGGAAGAGGACTGCGTCAGCCATAAGCTCATGCAGCAGATCGTCCCATGCAGGCAGCTGTTCCCTGCACCTGGCTTGACCATCTGGTGCCTTGTCAGCCTGTGTCCCTCTCCTTGGTAGTCCCTAGCCCTTGCTGCAGCTCCATGTGCTGCCCGACCCCACAAGAGGTGTTGCAGCAGCATCTCGTTGTCCAAAGAGCTGGAATTTCCACTAGGGTGTAGGTCAGAGTGTGCTTGGCATCACTTTCTTGGTGAAATGGTTCTCTAGGCACTGGTGAAGAGAGTGCTACTTGAAGTTTTGCTCTGCTTGTTTTGCTTCCCCTTTTTTTTCTTAATAAAGACTGCTAAACCGTTACGGCCCACCTTTTCTTCTTGATACGAGCATGATTGGACCTACGGAGCATTCATTCTCCACTAAGTGCAGTTAAACTCCTGCAGCTCTCTCTGGTAACAGGCATCCTTGAAGAAAGTGTTTTATATTGTCTCATGTCTTGCTGAGGTTCAGCCTGAAATGCTTTGCCCTCTTCTGTGGTGTCCTCAGTCAGTCCCAGTGACTTCATTTTTTGCTGTTCCCAAAGACATATGACAGCTGTTCAGTCCTGAGTGAGACCAGGAGTGAATTCAGCATTTTCAACACACCTCTGAGCTTTGAGTGCATTTCCCAACGGGAGTTCTATCTTACCCCATCCTTGTTCAGCATGGAATAAAGATGCTATGTAATGTACATTACTGCTGATCCTGGGAGCACCTTGGCTTGCTTTGCTTTAATTGCATACTATTACACTGCAGCCTTAAAATCACGGTTAGCAAGAACATTCCAATCTCCAGATGCAAGCTTTACACAAATGTAGATGGAGGGAAAATCAGACTGCGTGTGCTCTGCAGGCCTGCGGAGTAGGGTGAACTGCCCACAGAATTACAGAGTGGTTTGGGTGGGAAGGGACCTTAAAGATGTTTTTTTTCTCAAGGTCATTTTTGTGACTGTGGTGCAAGCATGCCAGTAGGCCCACATCTTCATATCATGTGCTCTACTCTGCTTGCAAAAATAGCTCTCCAGTTTTGCATGTGCTCCTGTCATGTGGAGAGCTGTGTAAATATCTGTTTGCAGGACTGCGCAGGAGCTGCAGAGCCTCATTTCATTTCTAGACAGCATTCTTCTGAAAATTAGCTGAGCTTTACACAGGACAGCTCTTGAACACAGGACAATGTGGAAACAGAAGGGGTAGGAAATGGATTAAAGAAATAGACAAGGCATTAAACTTGTTTAGCGCTGTCCTTCCTGCACAGCAAGGCCAAGTCCTGGTTTGGAGCATCCATATGGATGCGTGCTTTTGTCAGTGGAAGCAGTGAGGTGTGTGAAGGAGGTGCAGGATGAAGACCACTGTTAGCACCCAGCTGAGCAATAGCGTTGTTGAGGCAGACTCCTTTCTCCTCTGGAGTTCAGTGCAAAAGGTCATCTGGGTGAAGCCCTTGTATTATTTCCTCCAAGTTAGATTTTATATCTGCTTGAATAATAATGCATAAAAAAGTCAGTGAAATGATTTCTCATCCCAGTGTTCACTGAGGCTGTTAGAGAGGAAAGAACCAGCTTTTTCCTTCAACACTCACCCTCCACACCTCACACACATAAAGTATGCATTCACTGTTCATCCGTAATCCTTCCTTCTTGAAAGCTGTATGGCAGCAACATTATGATGAAGTGATAAAGAGCTTACTCTGTAGCTAAAGGAGGAAATAGCCATAGAGGACTTTCAAGTCTCATTTCAAGGACTGAGAAACCTTGAAACATGGAATATGCTTGCTGCATCCTGAGTGTGTCAACTGCCTTCTGCTGTTTCTTAGTCAAACACACCAATATGGTATCCTCCTGCAACTAATCTGTTGCATATCTTCTTAGTTTTATGTCTTTGATAACTATGACCTATTTTTATTTTTACCTTTCAAGATTTTTTCTTTAAATTCTTGAGCTTTTCGTTGCA